TGTTGGTTTGTTGAACATGTTGTTGGTTTGTTGAACCTGTTGTTGGTTTGTTGAACCTGTTGTTGGTTTGTTGAACATGTTGTTGGTTTGTTGAACCTGTTGTTGGTTTGTTGAACATGTTGTTGGTTTGTTGAACATGTTGTTGGTTTGTTGAACCTGTTGTTGGTTTGTTGAACATGTTGTTGGTTTGTTGAACATGTTGTTGGTTTGTTGAACATGTTGTTGGTTTGTTGAACTGTTGTTGGTTTGTGACAGGTTTGTGGTTTGTGAACATGGGTTTTTGTGGAACATGTGTGTTTTACATGGTTGTTGGTTTGTTGAAGTTGTTGTTTGTTGAATGTTTATTGGTTGTTGACATGTTGTTGGTGTGACCTTATGATGATGTTGTAGGTCACTATGAAGGGTGACTGATTTATGTGAGTTATGAGTTTTACTGATGAGTTGTCTTACTGATGAGTTGTCTACTGATGAGTTGTCTTACTGATGAGTTGTCTTACTGATGATGGTTGCTTACTGATGAGTTTTTACTGATGAGTTGTTACTGATGAGTTGTTTACTGATTGCACTGTGTTGTGTTACTGATGGTTTCTTACTGATGAGTTGTCTTACTGATGAGTTGTCTTACTGATATGAGGTTGTCTTACTGATGAGTTGTCTACTGATGAGTTGTCTTACACTATGATGAGTTGTCTTATGAGGTTTTTGATCTACTGATGAGTTGTCCTTGTGATTTACTGATGAGTTGTCTTACTGATGAGTTGTCTTACTGTGATTGTCTTACTGATGAGTTGTCTAACTGATGAGTTGTTACTGATTTGTCTACTGATGAGTTGTTACTGATGAGTTGTTTACTGATGAGTTGTTACTGATGGTGTTCTACTGATGAGTTGTCTTACTGATGAGTTGTCTTACTGATCTACTGATGAGTTTGTTACTGTGTTGTTACTGATGAGTTGTCTTACATGGTGTTTATGTCTACTGATGAGTTGTCTTACTGATGAGTTGTCTTACTGATGAGTTGTCTTATTGATCTACTGATGAGTTGTCTAACTGATGAGTTGTCTCTGTCTACTGATAGTTGTCTTACTGATGAGTTGTCTTACTGATGAGTTGTAATGCGGTCTACTGATGAGTTGTCTTACTGATGAGTTTCTTACTGATACTATGTGATGTTACTGATGAGTTGTCTTACTGATGAGTTGTCTTACTGATGAGTGTCTTACTGATGAGTTGTCTTTGATCTACTGATGAGTTGTCTACTGATGAGTTGTCTTACTGATTACTATGAGTTGTCTTACTGATGAGTTGTTTACTGATGAGTTGTCTTACTGATCTATGATGAGCTGTCTTACTGATGAGTTGTGTTCATGATGATTGTCTTCTGATCTACTGATGAGTTGTCTACTGATGAGTGTCTTACTGATGAGTTGTTTACTGATTATGAGTTGTCTTACTGATGAGTTGTCTTACTGATGATTGTCTGTCTTACTGATGAGTTTGTTCTTACTGATCTACTGAAGTTGTCTTACTGATGAGTTGTTTACTGATGATTGTTTACTGATGAGTTGTCTTACTGATGAGTTGTCTTACTGATAAGTTGTCTTACTGATGAGTTGTCTTACTGATGAGTTGTCTTACTGATGAGTTGTCTTACTGATGAGTTGTCTTACTGATGAGTTTCTTACTGATGAGTTGTCTTACTGATGAGTTGTCTTACTGATGAGGTTTGATCTACTGATGAGTTGTCTTACTGATGAGTTGTCTACTGATGAGTTGTCTTACTAATGAGTTGTCTTACTGATCTACTGATGAGTTGTCTTACTGATGAGTTGTCTTACTGATGAGTTGTCTTACTGATCTACTGATGAGTTGTCTTACTGATGAGTTGTTTTACTGATGAGTTGTCCTACTGATGCGCTGTCCTACTGATGAGTTGTCTTACTGATGAGTTGTCTTACTGATCTATTGATGAGCTGTCTTACTGATGAGTTGTCTTACTGATCTACTGATGAGTTGTCCTACTGATGAGTTGTGTTACTGATGAGTTGTCTTACTGATGAGTTGTCTTACTGATGAGTTGTCTTACTGATCTACTGATGAGTTGTCCTACTGATGAGTTGTCTTACTGATGAGTTGTCTTACTGATGAGTTGTCTTACTAATGAGTTGTCTTACTGATCTACTGATGAGTTGTCTTACTGATGAGTTGTCTTACTGATGAGTTGTCTTATTGATCTACTGATGAGTTGTCTAACTGATGAGTTGTCTTACTGATCTACTGATGAGTTGTCTTACTGATTAGTTGTTTTACTGATGTGTTGTCCTACTGATGCGTTGTCCTACTGATGAGTTGTCTTACTGATGAGTTGTCTTACTGATCTATTGATGAGCTGTCTTACTGATGAGTTGTCTTACTGATCTACTGATGAGTTGTCTTACTGATGAGTTGTCTTACTGATGAGTTGTCCTACTGATGAGTTGTCTTACTGATGAGTTGTCGTACTAATCTACTGATGAGTTGTCTAACTGATCTACTGATGAGTTGTCTTACTGATGAGTTGTCTTACTGATGAGTTGTCTTACTGATCTACTGATGAGTTGTATTACTAATAAGTTGTCTTACTGATGAGTTGTCTTACTGATCTACTGATGATTTGTCTTACTGATGAGTTGTCTTACTGATGAGTTGTCTTACTGATCTATTGATGAGTTGTCTTACTGATCTACTGATGAGTTGTCTTACTGATGAGTTGTCCTACTGATGAGTTGTCTTACTGATGAGTTTTCTTACTGATGAGTTGTCTTACTGATGAGTTGTCTTACTGATCTACTGATCATTTGTCTTACTGATGAGTTGTCTTACTGATGATTTGTCTTACTGATCTACTGATAAGTTTTCTTACTGATGACTTGTCTTACTGATGAGTTGTCCTACTGATGAGTTGTCTTACTAATGAGTTGTCTTACTGATGAGTTGTCCTACTGATGAGTTGTATTACTAATGAGTTGTCTTACTGATGAGTTGTCTTACTGATCTATTGATGAGTTGTCTTACTGATGAGTTGTCTTACTAATGAGTTGTCTTACTAATGAGTTGTCTTACTGATGAGTTGTCCTACTGATGAGCTGTATTACTAATGAGTTGTCTTACTGATGAGTTGTCTTACTGATGAGTTGTCTTACTGATGATTTGTCTTACTGATCTACTGATGAGTTTTCTTACTGATGACTTGTCTTACTGATGAGTTGTCCTACTGATGAGTTGTCTTACTGATATACTGATGAGTTGTCTTACTGACCTACTGATGAGTTGTCCTACTGATGAGTTGTTTTACTGATGAGTTGTCTTACTGATCTACTGATGAGTTGTCTTACTGATGAGTTGTCTTACTGATGAGTTGTCCTACTGATGAGTTGTCTTACTGATGAGTTGTCATACTGATCTACTGATGAGTTGTCTTACTGATCTACTGATGAGTTGTATTACTAATGAGTTGTCTTACTGATGATTTGTCTTACTGATGAGTTGTCTTACTGATGAGTTGTCTTACTGATCTACTGATGAGTTGTATTACTAATGAGTTGTCTTACTGATGAGTTGTCCTACTGATGAGTTGTATTCTTAATGAGTTGTCTTACTGATGAGTTGTCCTACTGATGAGTTGTCCTACTGATGAGTTTTCTTACTGATGAGTTGTCTTACTGATGAGTTGTCTTGCTGATGAGTTGTCTTACTGATCTACTGATGAGATGTCTTACTGATGAGTTGTCTTACTGATCTACTGATGAGTTGTCTTACTGATGAGTTGTCGTATCAATACAAGCTAGCTTTAATAATATTTTAAAGCTTTATGTCAGCCCATGTACCAGGAGTTCTAAACAAGCCATGATGTCAGTGAAAGCAGTGGCCAGGTCTCCCTTGTTTTGACCTCAATGGGACAACCTGGTCAAATAAAAAAGTATTTTTCCGACCATGTGACCTGACCAGGAATAACTATTTCCTGACCAGGGAAAAAACCTGATCAGGAAAAACCAACTTTTCACAAAGTGAATGTAGCTCATTAGTTACCATATTATAACACTTTACAGTTCTATTTCTCTCTTATGTTATTCAATCAAAAGGGCAGGGGCTGTGTCTAAAGTGCGTTCTTTATTAACAGCTTTGTTAAGAATTAACCAAGAACAAAGTCCCAAAGTACAATCATTTTTATTTTTTGAATTATTAAAATCCCATACATTTTGAAGGATACAAATTAAAATGTGTTACAAAAATCTATACATCCTTCTTTAAAAAATGTAACACAAACATTACAAACCGATAAACACAGAAACAGAAACTCATACAGGGTTTTACATTCAAAGCTCAAGAGTATCAATTGATTTCAATACCTTCTTATTCTCACAGAGCATAATATTCAATGTGGCAAAGTAATTATTCATGTCTACCTTAAAAAATATTGAAAAATACGTTTTTTTTCCTTAAACAATTCATTTCATGGATGTGATATTTAGCAAGAATTATAATCAAATTTACCAAAGTACAAAGTTGACTCCTGAGAAATAGAATTACTTTAAACATGTAGAACTCCAAGAATGTTCATAGAATGTTGCGGAGCTTATGACATCACCATAGAATTAGAATTCTATTTCATTTTTAGAATTCTACCATTTTAGTTCACACCATTTCGTTTTGAACCGCCTGGAGCTGCCTCGCTTCATTGAACAGTGGTCATAGCAGTTGCCCCCTTGCATACGATTCTTACGCAAAAGGATGGCTGCTTGTGATTTGCCAGAGTTAGGCCCCCCCCTCTTTGTAGGTAACTTATTACACGAGTTTGCGGGCGGAGTTAGTTACCATAAGAGATAAATTGTGTGGGGTACAATAGGAGAACCGGGTACGACACTGTCCTTTACTATTCTGTACAGGGGACAGTACAGGAATCGGGTACCTAAGCCCATTAAAGAATATTAATTGAAAAGGGAAATTAAAAGGCAAAAAATATGTCGGCAAATAAAGATGGAGACGGTGGATGGAAGAGCTTTGTGTGGAATTCGGAAAGGAAGGAATTTCTAGGACGCACGGGTGGCAGTTGGTGTAAGTACATAAATCCGTAATAAGCTACTTTTAATCGACGCTTTTCGGGATATTAACTCGAGGATAAAAATGATAAAGAGTTTTAGCCCTGTTGTTTCTGTGTATTCTCAGAATACTGTAACGGCACAGAGTTTCAGACTCTTTCTGTATTTCCTGATTGAGAAATACAGCACCTGTTTGATTGGACAGAGCATGCTATTTCGTGAAATTCACGTTCAATGGCAAAATTACAGGAGAAACATATTAAATGAATTAAACGTGATTTATAAACAACAAATCTGTAAAAAATAACCTTATAACCTATTGATGGAATACGATTACAATAAATGTAATGATAAGTAGGACTGTCTAAAAGGCAATTTAAATATATTCAGACTTTTAGGTCCAGTGAACGTTAATAATGTTCCTATCCGTTATTGTTCGTTTAACGGGGTTGATCATGTACAGCGAAAGCCAGAGTCTGTGTCCTTTGCCAAAGAGGTCATTTTGAAGGACATAATTGACATTATATGGTGGCATTCCGGAGTGTTGGATTGCAACTAACATGTGCTTGTCTTGCCAAAATGGCATGCTTGTTTCTGGTGTCACATACTTAGCCTAGATTGGAGAAAATTGATAAAGTTGAGAAATATGAGTTGCTTTCTTTCTCTGAACAAGATAATGTGCCAAATGACAGGGGAACAACCATAACCTCGTCAATTAGCTGTTTAATCCCAATACCGTTGTTGTTTTTAAAGGAATCAGGGTTCAAGGTTAGTAGTCAAGGTGATCAGGCCCTTTCGCCTGAAGCTGATGTCATAGTTTTGGACCGATAGAATGTAATGGACATGAAGCCAACAATGAGCATTGATTTACCAATGAGCCACTTTTCTGTTCAACTGGTGAGCTTGCAACATTGGAACACTGACGTCATCGTTACATTTTTTCGAGTGGGAGACTGTTGCAGTGGGTAGCTAGTTTATCTATTGGCAACATTTAGGTTTTATCTCGGCGCTTTTTCTACATAGGAAGAGGAAGATCAGCTCACGACTCACATGCTCGGTTTCTCTAGGGACACCCCCCCACAGACAACTTTGTTTCTTTTAGCAGCTACTGCTAACAATTTGTTGCTTAAATCAATTCCTCGAGTTCACATAGGTAGGGCGATTATTACCGTAGGCTTTCACAATACGAGAAAAAGAAAGACTTCGATAGTACGCTCTAGTAGGGGACACAGGATCAAGTCAATCGTCGACGGTTGCCAGTTGTTTCCTGAAAGCGGACAGACTATTGTTGGTAACGCAAAGGGCGCCTGTTCACTGAGAAGTGTTGGTGTATCTGTCGAAACTGTTGCTGTTCTTTGAATGAATTTATTGAATTCAGAAGCTCAATGAAAGTAGCTAGCTACGTGTAGAAAGTTCCAAGGTTTCTGGCGTGTTGCCTGTGTTTGCGTAGCCTACATATCTCTGTCGTAGCCGGCCGCGACCGGGAGACCCATGGGGCGGCGCACAATTGGCCCAGCGTCGTCCAGGGTAGGGGAGGGAATGGCCGGCAGGGATGTAGCTCAGTTGGTAGAGCATGGCGTTTGCAACGACAGGGTTGTGGGTTAGATTCCCACGGGGGGTATGAAAAATAAAAATAAATATGTATGCACTCACTAACTGTAAGTCGCTCTGGATAAGAGCGTCTGCTAAATGACTAAAATGTACATGTAAAATGGATATCGCGCAAGGTATTATCAAGAGCACGTCGGACCAAATCGATGCGCTTGTTGCAGCCTGGTCTCATACACTATCGTAACATAGTAAAGTAAATCCGGGACTGAAAAATTAGTATGATATCATTTTACATGATATGTTATGTTTGATATGGTTACATAAGACAGATGGTTACTTAAGGCAAGAACGAAAGTCGGGTGGATGGGTGGGTGTATAACGTGAATGTCTAACAACCCAAAGGTTGCGAGTTCGAATCTCATCACATACAACTTTAGCATTTTAGCTAACTACTTACTACCTTTTAGCTACTTTGCAACTACTTAGCATGTTAGCTAACCCTTAAGTCTTTAACCTAACTCATAAATGTAATCCTAACCCCTAGCCTAGCTAGAATTCGTGACATATAATACAAATAAATTGTAGTTCATAACATATCATACAAAATGGGTGATGGACATCCACAAATTAATACATACCATACGAAATGTAAAATATCATACTAAAGGAGTGGCTCTGATTTATGTACAGAATAATATGAAAAAGCTCTGAGACCAGGTTGCAGAGGTTATTGCATTTAAGTTATTTAGCAGACGCTCTTATCCAGAGCGATTTACAGGAACAATTACGGCTAAGTGCCTAAGTGCTCAAGGGCACATCGACAGATTTTGTCACCTAGTCGGCTCGGGGATTAGAACCAGCGACCTTTTGGTTACTGGCACAACGCTCTTAACCACTAAACTACCTGCCGCCCCGCCCCAGGATAAGCCTTCCAATAACCCTTTGGCTATGCTGGCTGTGCAGCACCATCTCATCTTTCGCATCAAATCACAATTGGTCATCATCAAAAGTGGTAGGTATAGGCTAATACAGTAGGCTACATTGATTCAGGTCTTCATTTAGTGACACTTGTATCCAATGACGGTGTAATAACTATAATACTTGCGTCTACCCAGTGCCTAATAGCCTTTTGAAAAGTAAGCGTATACGGTCCCATTGCACGAAATAGGACAATTATGATAATCTCAGCAATCTCTGTGCTGCTTGCCTTGAGAAATGTGAGAACGTGCCTGAGTTGTCCATTCACAACACAAATGTATGCACTCACTAACTGTAAGTCGCTCTGGATAAGAGCGTCTGCTAAATGACTAAAATGTAAAGCCTGCCTGACTGTCTACCCTGCTGTTCTGGGGAGGGGAGGGGAGGGGGGGGGGGGGGGCATAGACCGAGCTGAGAGAGAGCGAGGTTATCACAAGGACTGGAAGGCATTCAACAAGTCTCCTATTGGCCAATTAGGCCTGTAGGGGGGTTAAAGAACATTTAAATGGTTAACACTTGATAATAATCACTTGTCTAGAGGTGATCACATTCACTCAGTGGTCCGACGGGTCTTTTTACAAGAGAGACGAAAGAGAGATAGCGGTCTGAATTGAGCTATTCCCCCTGAGCTTCCACACAATATGTGGTCGTGGGTGTGAAAGAAAAACACGGATTTGCGAGACTAATAAATTAATTTAGACTTTGGAACAGGCCTATAGAGCTGCGCCAGGTACGAAAATGAGTTAGCCATGGCTCATTGGACAATGCCTATGGGGAAATGAATGGGGCTTTTGGAGGGGGTTTTGGACAATAAGGTCTGAGGATAACACAGGAATAGGATATCATACGTTTTGTAATATCAGTCAGTCAAGTAAGTAGCCTTGGCTTGTGTGAGCCGAAACGGCTCGTAGGGCAGGAGCCGATCTCCTGTTTCTGTAGCGGGTACAAGTACAGCCCCTGGACAGGACGCCAGTCTATCTCCTGTTTCTGTAGGGTGAGGCAGCTTGATGTACAGTACAGCCCCTGGACAGGACGCTAGTCTATCTCCTGTTTCTGTAGCGGGTACAAGTACAGCCCCTGGACAGGATGCCAGTCTATCGCAGGTCCTTACCCCCAAATCTATCTCCTTAATGCTGAGTGCCAAGCAGAGACACATCAGGTCCCATTTTTACAGTCTTTGGTATGACTCTGCCAGAGATTGAACTCACAACTTCCCAGTCTCAGGACACTTTAACCACAAGGCCACCAAGACTTTAGCTGATGAAGATTATCTCATAGAACAAAAGTATACGATCTCCTAAGGCTGTGTTTACCACAGACCTTATTTTAGGCGTTTATCCAAAAACCCATAGGTTTTGACCAACAAGCCTCTGTTAATAGAGTCCCACAGTGGAGGTGTCATAATACCCATAAAACCTAGCGGTCAAACAGGGAAATGGTTCCAGTCGTTTTTTCCACCATTCATTTTTCCCATAGGGGATATTAGAAACATTTAAAATAAGGGCTGTGTTTCGTGTAGGCTTACCCTGGCGTGATGTTTTGATAACTGTAAATCTCTCTCAGACAAGGTGACTTTTATCAATATATTCGGCTCTATTTACACTCAGTTTAAAAAATGCTAATTAGCATCAAAGTAGACATCATGCAAGACTACAAATCCCTGCAAGCTCCTGCACGTCATCTCTAACAGACACCTTTGCTAACAGGTATTGTGTCAATTTAAAACTTGCACAAGACAGTTCACAGAATTGTCAATTTAAAGAAATGTAGCCAATTTATTCATTACTAAATTTAGCTAACATTAGATCATTAATCCAGAGATTCTTACCTTTGCCTCGATTCGGCAGTCTCTTCCAGATCATCATGGCATTTGTAGTTCTTTATGATAGCCACATTAGCATCTAATTAGCATTTAATTTTTGGGGGGTAAATACAGGCAAATATATTGATAAGTCACCTTGCCCTAGAGAGATTTACACGGTTTTTCAAAACGTCACGCCCTTATTTTAAGTGTTTCTAAAATCCCTTATGGGAAAAATGAACGGTAGAAAAACAATTGGAACCATTTCCTTGTTTGACCGCTAGGTTTTATGGGTATTATGACTCATACTGAGGTATTCTATGCCTGCAAATATACACCATTACTATTGGTTTCTATAGACAGCCATGGTCACCTTTGATGCAACTGGTTTGCATCTCTCTCTCTCACCCCAGAGCTCACTGCCATGGTAACCACAGCCAGCCTCTCTCTCTCTCTCTCTCTCTCTCTCTCTCTCTCTCTCTCTCTCTCTCTCTCTCTCTCTCTCTCTCTCTCTCTCTCTCTCTCTCTCTCTCTCTCTCTCTCTCTCTCTCTCTCTCTCTCTCTCTCTCTCACACACTGTTACACTATTAAGTTATTCTGCTCAACCAATGCAATAGTAAAAGTGTTTCCTGTAGATTGTTTTTAGTCACTGGATGTTTTGTTATGACCCAAGGTTAAGGGCAGCAGGGTTGATTTACTATTGGCCAGCCTGTCACCTTCACAGACAAAGTAACAGGTCTATCCTGCCTGCCAGTGTGATGTGAGGTGGGGGAGGGGTATGAGTTTGGGGATGTTTGGAAATGAGACTGATAGAGGAGAGGGACTGGTAACCATCGACAACGAGCCAGAGTGACTCATCCTGCTAGACTGGAAGTGTTGTTGCCCTCCGTTACTATTGCATCATGGGAGACGAGATTAATTTCAACACACAGCGTATGGAGTAGAGAACAGTAGAGTGGTGTAGAATAGGGTAGGGAATGTGCTATAGTAGTGGATGTGTAGGGTAGGGAATGTGCTATAGTAGTGGATGTGTAGGGTAGGGAATGTGCTATAGTAGTGGATGTGTAGGGTAGGGAATGTGCTATAGTAGTGGATGTGTAGGGTAGGGAATGTGCTATAGTAGTGGATGTGTAGGGTAGGGAATGTGCTATAGTAGTGGATGTGTAGGGTAGGGAATGTGCTATAGTAGTGGATGTGTAGGGTAGGGAATGTGCTATAGTAGTGGATGTGTAGGGTAGGGAATGTGCTATAGTAGTGGATGTGTAGGGTAGGGAATGTGCTATAGTAGTGGATGTGTAGGGTAGGGAATGTGCTATAGTAGTGGATGTGTAGGGTAGGGAATGTGCTATAGTAGTGGATGTGTAGGGTAGGGAATGTGCTATAGTAGTGGATGTGTAGGGTAGGGAATGTGCTATAGTAGTGGATGTGTAGGGTAGGGAATGTGCTATAGTAGTGGATGAGTAGGGTAGGGAATGTGCTATAGGAGTTGTTTGGTACTAGCAACAGGAGTTGTATCTACCCTGGCATTAAACAGGCTGTAGAAGCTACACTGAAGTTTACAGTCAATTCAGAGAAAGTAAAACCATAGAGATTTAGTTTAGAGTACCAGGAAGATGAACACTCTTATGCCTCTCACAGGGATTTACTGTCTTTGTAATTAAATAAATAATTGAATGACTTCTCATATTGGATCATAAGCACTTTATAATGACGGCATAAGCTTAGTTTAGATAAGCAGATGTTTGGTTGGTTTTTCAGCCATTTGGAAAGTGATTTTATAGACATGTCCATTAGTTACTGGGCTCTGGTGGCAAAGGAGGACACTGAATTAGATTGAAAGTCATCTCAATCAGCATTGTATCCATCTAACCCCCAAATAACAGTATCTATGGTTAAAGAACATAACTTCAAACTTGCTTTTCTGTATTTTGATGATTATTTGAATTCTAGCCAGCCACGCCACACCATGCATGGCTCAGCACTTTAAACCCCAGACGTCTTCTGTTCAGCAGCCTGCCAGGCAAATGTCTAAGGAGAGGGAAGATTCCCTGGAATTTCCAGTTAGAATCAATTCAGGCAAAATGTTCAAAGGGGCCCTGGCGGGGTGATGATGGGGAATACTGGAGTATTGTCGCCAGTCACCACTTCACCATGTTAGATCTGCTAAAACAGGACGTATCAGTACACCATCTACTACTAATCTGTCCCATATGTCCATTTGTGATGAATCCCTTCTCTCTTTATCTCCACAGTTAAAATCTTGTTGTTCTACCTGATCTTCTATGGATGCTTGGCCGGGATTTTCATTGGGACCATCCAGGCCCTGCTGCTAACCCTTAGTAACTACAAACCCACCTACCAGGACAGAGTCGCCCCACCAGGTAAAGACTGCTCCACTCCCCTTATACTGCTTTATCTTTATGCTGCTTTATACTGCTTTATACTGCTTTGTGTTGCTTTATGCTGCTTTATACTGCTTTATACTGCTTTGTGTTGCTTTATGCTGCTTTAAACTGCTTTATGTTGCTTTATACTGCTTTATGTTGCTTTATACTGCTTTATACTGCTTTGTGTTGCTTTATACTGCTTTATACTGCTTTGTGTTGCTTTATGCTGCTTTATACTGCTTTGTGTTGCTTTATACTGCTTTATACTGCTTTGTGTTGCTTTATGCTGCTTTATACTGCTTTGTGTTGCTTTATACTGCTTTATTATACTGCTGTATACTGCTTTGTGTTGCTTTATACTGCTTTATGTTGCTTTATACTGCTTTATGTTGCTATATGTTGCTTTATTATGTTGCTTTATATAGCTTTATACTGCTTTGTTGCTTTATAGTGCTTTATACAATATCCTTTTATCATTTTGTTAAGTGTGATTTCCATCAGATGCTAATTGAAGTGTCCAAGTATAAAGATGTGCTCTGGAGCTGGTCGTGATTGGGGGATTATATCAAATCTTCAAATCTTCAATCAAGACACTGTTTGCGATGTTCCGTTGGCTCAGTGGAACGAGAAATATTTAATGCCATTATAATTTAACGATTATAGCTTCTGTAGTAAATGTGTTTTACAGAGAACATGTATACTGTGTACATAAATGGAAATACAACCATGATTAAAACATATAGGCATAGTAAGTAGCTGTAAAATGTATGGCAAATAATATTGAAACTTGAAATACAGGCCCAGATAAAGTTCTCAAATATGTAAGAGAATATTTGAATAGGCTTTTATCAGAATCGACCATAATGCATTGTACCATATAAACCGCTGTGAAATATATTTTCCATAACCAAAAACATTGTATTTTCAGCTGTTAGAAGTTGGGTACAAAACCGAAAAGAAACAGACAGGAAAACTAAACTTAAGAATGGGAAGCATAGAAATAGTGCAGATAGAACAGATCTACCTTCTTAGACTTGATTTCAATGAGAATGACAGATCTATAACTCACATTTCTATGTGAATTTGATCGGGTTGCCCCAAAAACGTACATATTGCAGCTTCAAGGGCTTCTAACATGTTACTGTTGCCCGGTCGGTGAAGGATTGTGGTTACTGGGCCCCTTTATGTTGCTGTTATGTGGTTGACTGCTTATTTCCAAGGTTTCTGTAAAAACCTGCTCCTGAACGCCGCCTCCTCCCCACTGAAGGTCCCTCTGACCTCCGACAGCTTCAGACATTTTGTCCTTCACTCTTCCTCCTCCCCTCTTCCTCCTCCCTCCCTGCCAGCTTCCCTCCTCAGCCTTCAGCTCCGGGAAACACAGCATTCACCGTTTTTACTGGGACTCAACTGCCTGTCTGTTCATGAACACATCCTTTGGAGTGGGTTCTCACACCCTGCGTGTGCACGCTCATATGAGCCTGTACTCCTGTATGAGCCAGTTTGCTACAGCAGCAGAATAATCCTGCAGCAACAGGAAATGTGAATTATCATGTGGATTATAATTAATGGACATTTTTGTAGGGGGTTGCTCCATTTTTCAAAAGAGAAAATCAAGTCTGAAATTTCTAAGTGGATATTACAAACTCCAGAAGCCTTTTTAAACCTCAAATACACTACAAGTTTTACATTTCCTGCAACGGTTCTCCTGCAACAGGGTGATCAAATTAAGATCCTAAATCGTTACATTCCCTGGAAAAGGCAGTGGAGGTTTTTTTCTTCATAACGTGGAGTCAGAGAATCAAACCTCCTAAGCCTGTTTGGAGAAATTCTTTCTGTAATCTTTTGAAGGCACGTTGAAAGAGTCGAAACAGTGCAGCCTTTTGTATTAGAATTTACTGCTTCCTTAATCTGACTGGGAGTACATTTAGAAGCACTGTTTCTCTCTCTCTCTCTCAATGTAAGGGCTTTATTGGCATGGGAAACGTATGTTAACATTGCAGTAAACAAAAGTGAAATAAACAATAGAAATGAACAGTAAACATTACACTCTGAAGTTCCAAAAGAATAAAGACATTTAAAATGTCTTATTATGTATATATACAGTGTTGTAACGATGTGCAAATAGTTAAAGTACAAAAGGGAAAATAAATAAACATAAATATGGGTTGTATTTACAATGGTGTTTGTTCTTCACTGGTTGCCCTTTTCTTGTGGCAACAGGTCACAAATCTTGCAGCTGTGATGGCACACTGTGGTTTTTCACCCAATAGATATGGGAGTTTATTAAAATTGGTTTTACTCAATAGATATGGGAGTTTGGCTGTGCCAAGGCCTGTTTGCACAGCACATGCTGTCACCTAGGCTGTATTTTTAGCAGCCATTGTAAAAGACTGGCTTCATGCACATGGGCCTGTTTGCCTGTCGGCCATTTCCCCCTCCAAAGCTGTTGACTATCAAAGGCCGGCCCGCGCTGAGAGGCAGCAGAAACCACATAAGTAGGTGTGGAGTGTCGTGAGTTTCCATTGGTGGCCAGATAAAGGAAGGAGAAGGCTCTCATTCTGAGGCTAAAAGTTTCCATTGTGAGTGAAGAGCACGCGAGGCTGCCGGTTGGGAGGGGGGATGGAAGAGACTTTCACAAGCCTTGACTGGAAGTAAAACAACTTGACTATATTGAACATGTGACTCCCCATAGCATGTGCTAGGACATATGTTTTGAGTAGCATTAAGCTTTAAGACGTGAACGGTTGGTTTTCATTGAGATCTTACACAATAGACACTGGATGAGGATTCCTATTTGGACGTTAAAAGAGCGTGGTTAAAGAAACACAATGACGTTTCCTCTCGTCTCGTCTCCTCCCCCTCTCTCTCTCTCATCTCCTCCCCCTCTCTCTCTCTCTCGTCTCCTCCCCCTCGCTCTCTCTCGTCTCCTCCCCCTCTCTCTCTCTCGTCTCCTCCCCCCCTCTCTCTCTCTCGTCTCCTTCCCCTCTCTCTCTCGTCTCCTCCCCCTCTCTCTCTCTCGTCTCCTCCCCCTCTCTCTCTCTCGTCTCCTCCCCCTCTCTCTCTCTCGTCTCCCCCCCCCTCTCTCTCTCTCGTCTCCTCCCCCCTCTCTCTCTTTCTCTCGCTGTGTTCATGCCACACCTAGCTGTGACCCTGTGTGTGCACCAGGGCTGTCAGTCCATGGAAAATTACTGCCACAGTTTAAACAGAGCCCATCTGAAGAGAACGATTAGACACAGAGGGAGGGGAGGGGGGGGGGGGTGTCGAGGCTTTTATGATTTTATTCACACTAACGGAAATTAATTAATGGTTAACCATCATTTATAGCTAAAAATGAATTTTGATTTAATCTCAAAGAAAGTCACTTAATTCAGGATTATATATATACCTATTACATTGGTATGTAGTGTTTGGGGGTGGTAGGACCCACTTTGGGTTTCAGTAGACCTTTTGAATGGGCCATTTATAATCCTGTTAGATGCCCTCTCCATCTGGCAAATCTTCCTCCCTAGTTCTCTACTCACAGACTGATTCATGAATGAGGACTCATTCTATTTCTATGATTATACTGATCTCTTATCTAGGGATTTTTACTTCTGTCTGTCAAATAATAAGAATACAAATAATAACAATCAGAATAATACATTTTATTTGTAGAGCGCTTTTCACTTACAGACAGAAATCACAAATCTCTTTACATGTCTCATCTGTATCATCCATACTAACCCAGTGTGTTGTCTACCTACAGGTCTGTCATCCATACTAACCCAGTGTGTTGTCTACCTACAGGTCTGTCATCCATACTAACCCAGTGTGTTGTCTACCTACAGGTCTGTCATCCATACTAACCCAGTGTGTTGTCTACCTACAGGTCTGTCATCCATACTAACCCAGTGTGTTGTCTACCTACAGGTCTGTCATCCATACTAACCCAGTGTGTTGTCTACCTACAGGTCTGTCATCCATACTAACCCAGTGTGTTGTCTACCTACAGGTCTGTCATCCATACTAACCCAGTGTGTTGTCTACCTACAGGTCTGTCATCCATACTAACCCAGTGTGTTGTCTACCTACAGGTCTGTCATCCATACTAACCCAGTGTGTTGTCTACCTACAGGTCTGTCATCCATACTAACCCAGTGTGTTGTCTACCTACAGGTCTGTCATCCATACTAACCCAGCGTGTTGTCTTCCTACAGGTCTGTCACACACCCCACGCTCTGAAAAGTTTGAGATCTCTTACGATATCAACGATGTGGAGACGTATCAGAAGTACACCAAGAGCATCAAGGAGTTCCTGGAGATGTACAATGAGGAGAAGCAGAGTGACCAGATGAAGTACGAAGACTGTGGAGGCAAGTACAGACTAGTAGAAACTAGTAGACACTAGTAGAAACTAGTACAGACTAGTATTTGGTATTTTATTAGGATCCCCATTAGCTGTTGCGAAAGCAGCAGCTACTCTTCCTGGGGTCCACACAAAACATGAATCATGACATAATACAGAACATTAATAGATAAGAACAGCTCAAGGACAGAACTACATACATTTTTTAAAAGGCACCCGTCACCTACATATCAATACATATACACAAACTATCTAGGTCAAATAGAGGAGAGGCGTTGTGCCGTGAGGTGTTGCTTTATCAGTTTTTTAAAACCAGGTTTGCTGTTTATTTGAGCAATATGAGATGGAACGGAGTTCCATGCAATAATGGCTCTACAGTGAGGGAAAAAAGTATTTGATCCCCTGCTGATTTTGTACGTTTGGCCACTGACAAAGACATGATCAGTCTATAATTTTAATGGTAGGTTTATTTGAACAGTGAGAGACAGAATAACAACAACAAAAATCCAGAAAAACGCATGTCAAAAATGTTATAAATTGATTTGCATTTTAATGAGGGAAATAAGTATTTGACCCCCTCTCAATCAGAAAGATTTCTGGCTCCCAGGTGTCTTTTATACAGGTAACGAGCTGAGATTAGGAGCACACTCTTAAAGGGAGTGCTCCTAATCTCAGCTTGTTACCTGTATAAAAGACACCTGTCCACAGAAGCAATCAATCAATCAGATTCCAAACTCTCCACCATGGCCAAGACCAAAGAGCTCTCCAAGGATGTCAGGGACAAGATTGTAGACCTACACAAGGCTGGAATGGGCTACAAGACCATCGCCAAGCAGCTTGGTGAGAAGGTGACAACAGTTGGTGCGATTATTCACAAATGGAAGAAACACAAAAGAACTGTCAATCTCCCTCGGCCTGGGGCTCCATGCAGGATCTCACCTCGTGGAGTTGCAATGATCATGAGAACGGTGAGGAATCAGCCCAGAACTACACGGGAGGATCTTGTCAATGATCTCAAGGCAGCTGGGACCATAGTCACCAAGAAAACAATTGGTAACACACTACGCCGTGAAGGACTGAAATCCTGCAGCGCCCGCAAGGTCCCCCTGCTCAAGAAAGCACATATACAGGCCCGTCTGAAGTTTGCCAATGAACATCTGAATGATTCAGAGGAGAACTGGGTGAAAGTGTTGTGGTCAGATGAGACCAAAATCGAGCTCTTTGGCATCAACTCAACTCGCGTGTTTGGAGGAGGAGGAATGCTGCCTATGACCCCAAGAACACCATCCCCACCTTCAAACATGGAGGTGGAAACATTATGCTTTGGGGGTGTTTTTCTGCTAAGGGGACAGGACAACTAAACCGCATCAAAGGGACGATGGACGGGGCCATGTACCGTCAAATCTTGGGTGAGAACCTCCTTCCCTCAGCCAGGGCATTGAAAATGGGTCGTGGATGGGTATTCCAGCATGACAATGACCCAAAACACACGGCCAAGGCAACAAAGGAGTGGCTCAAGAAGAAGCACATGAAGGTCCTGGAGTGGCCTAGCCATTCTCCAGACCTTAATCCCATAGAAAATATTATATATTATTATTATATTAAAATCTGTGGAGGGAGCTGAAGGTTCGAGTTGCCAAACGTCAGCCTCGAAACCTTAATGACTTGGAGAAAATCTGCAAAGAGGAGTGGGACAAAATCCCTCCTGAGATGTGTGCAAACCTGGTGGCCAACTACAAGAAACGTCTGACCTCTGTGATTGCCAACAAGGGTTTTGCCACCAAGTACTAAGTAATGTTTTGCAGAGGGGTCAAATACTTATTTCCCTCATTAAAATGCAAATCAATTTATAAAATTTTTGACATGCGTCTTTCTGGATTTGTTTGTTGTTATTCTGTCTCTCACTGTTCAAATAAACCTACCATTAAAATTATAGACTGATCATGTCTTTGTCAGTGGGCAAACGTACAAAATCAGCAGGAGATCAAATACTTTTTTCCCTCACTGTATATACAGTGGGGAGAACAAGTATTTGATACACTGCCGATTTTGCAGGTTTTCCTACTTACAAAACATGTAGAGGTCTGTAATTTTTATCATAGGTACACTTCAACTGTGAGAGAAAAAAAAAGTATCCAGAAAATCACATTGTATGATTTTTAAGTAATTAATTTGCATTTTATTGCATGACATAAGTATTTGATACATCAGAAAAGCAGAACTTAATATTTGGTACAGAAACCTTTGTTTGCAATTACAGAGATCATACGTTTCCTGTAGGTCTTGACCAGGTTTGCACACACTGCAGCAGGGATTTTGGCCCACTCCTCCATACAGACCTTCTCCAGATCCTTCAGGTTTCGGGGCTGTCGCTGGGCAATACGGACTTTCAGCTCCCTCCAAAGATTTTCTATTGGGTTCAGGTCTGGAGACTGGCTAGGCCACTCCAGGACCTTGAGATGCTTCTTACGGAGCCACTCCTTAGTTGCCCTGGCTGTGTGTTTCGGATCGTTGTCATGCTGGAAGACCCAGCCACGACCCATCTTCAATGCTCTTACTGAGGGAAGGAGGTTGTTGGCCAAGATCTTGCGATACATGGCCCCATCCATCCTCCCCTCAATACGGTGCAGTCGTCCTGTCCCCTTTGCAGAAAAGCATCCCCAAAGAATGATGTTTCCACCTCCATGCTTCACGGTTGGGATGGTGTTCTTGGGGTTGTACTCATCCTTCTTCTTCCTCCAAACACGGCGAGTGGAGTTTAGAGCAAAAAGCTCTATATTTGTCTCATCAGACCACATGACCTTCTCCCATTCCTCCTCTGGATCATCCAGATGGTCACTGGCAAACTTCAGACGGGCCTGGACATGCGCTGGTTTGAGCAGGGGGACCTTGCGTGCGCTGCAGGATTTTAATCCATGACGGCGTAGTGTGTTACTAATGGTTTTCTTTGAGACTGTGGTCCCAGCTCTCGTCAGGTCATCAACCAGGTCCTGCCATGTAGTTCTGGGCTGATCCCTCACCTTCCTCATGATCATTGATGCCCCACGTGGTGAGATCTTGCATGGAGCCCCAGACCGAGGGTGATTGACCGTCATCTTGAACTTCTTCCGTTTTCTGATAATTGTGCCAACAGTTGTTGCCTTCTCACCAAGCTGCTTGCCTATTGTCCTGTAGCCCATCCCAGCCTTGTGCAGGTCTACAATTTTATCCCTGATGTCCTTACACAGCTCTCTGGTCTTGGCCATTGTGGAGAGGTTGGAGACTGTTTGATTGAGTGTGTGGACAGGTGTCTTTTATACAGGTAACGAGTTCAAACAGGTGCAGTTACTACAGGTACTGAGTGGAGAACAGGAGGGCTTCTTAAAGAAAAACTAACAGGTCTGTGAGAGCCAGAATTCTTACTGGTTGGTAGGTGATCAAATACTTATGTCATGCAATAAAATGCAAATGAATTACTTAAAAATCATACAATGTGATTTTCTGGATTTTTGTTTTAGATTCAGTCTCTCACAGTTGAAGTGTACCTATGGTAAAAATTACAGACCTCTACATGCTTTGTAAGTAGGAAAACCTGCAAAATCGGCAGTGTATCAAATACTTGTTCTCCCCACTGTAACACTCTACGCTTTCTTGAATTTGTTCTGGATTTGGGGACTGTGAAAAGACCCCTGGTGGCATGTCTGGTGGGGTAAGTGTGTGTGTCAGAGATGTGTGTAAGATGACTATGCAAACTATTTGGGATTTTCAACACATTCATGTTTCTTATAAAAAGAAGTGAGGCAGTCAGTCTCTCCTCAACTCTTAGCCAAGAGAGACTGGCATGCATAGTATTTATATCAGCCCTCTGATTACAATGAAGAGCAAGACGTGCCACTCTGTTCTGGGCCAGCTGCAGCTTAACTAGGTCCTGCTCTGTTCTGGGCCAGCTGCAGCTTAACTAGGTCCTGCTCTGTTCTGGGCCAGCTGCAGCTTAACTAGGTCCTGCTCTGTTCTGGGCCAGCTGCAGCTTAACTAGGTCCTGCTCTGTTCTGGGCCAGCTGCAGCTTAACTAGGTCTTTCCCTTCAGCACTCGACCACATGACTGGACAATAATCAAGATTAGACAAAACTAGAGCCTGCAGAACTTGCTTTTTGGAGTGTGGTGTCAAAAAAGCAGAGCGTCTCTTTATTACGGACAGGCCTCTCCCCATCTTTACAACCATTGAATCTATATGTTTTTGACCATGATACTTTATATCACTTATCTTTGTTTCATAATACAATTTCTTCTTATTTTTGTTCAGTTTAGTCACATAATTTCTCAGTTTGCAGTCAGTCAGCCAGTCAGATGTGCAGCCAGACTTATTATCCACTCCTTTTGCCCCGTCTCTTTCAACCAGACAGTTTTTCAATTCCTCATCAATCCATGGAGCCTTAACAGCTCTAACAGTCAGTTTCTTAACAGGTGCATGTTTATCAATAATTGGAAGAAGCAATTTCATATATTCATCAAGTGCAGCATCTGGATGCTCCTTATTAATCACACCAGACCAACAAATATTTTTTACATCATCCACATAAGAGTTACAGTTAAATCTTTTATATGATCTCTCATACACTATTTTAGGCCCAGCTTTTGGAACTTTGGCTTTCCTGGATATAGCCACTATATTGTGATCACTGCATCCAATGGGTACGGATACAGCTTTAGAACAAAGTTCTACAGTATTAGTAAAAATGTGATCGATACATGTGGTTGATCTTGTTCCTGTAGTGTTTGTAAACACCCTGGTAGGTTGATTAATAACCTGAACCAGATTACAGGCACTGGTTACAGTAAGAAGCTTCCTCTTGAGCGGACAGCTTGATGAAAACCAGTCAATATTCAGGTCCCCAAGAAAGTAGACCTCTCTGTTTACATCACATACGCTATCAAGCATTTCACACATATTATTTAGATACTGACTGTTAGCACTTGGTGGCCTATAGCAACACCCCAAAACGAAAAAGGCTTTAGATGTGCCAGGTGA